TGGGTCCAGGTTTGGGGTGCAGGGGATATGTGGATGTGTGTTTTGGGTGCAGGGTTTGAGGTACATGGGGTACAAGGTGCAAGGTTTGGGGTGCAGGGGATGTGTGGATGCAGGGTTTGGGTGCAGGGGGTGCAGGTTTGGGGTGGCGGGGGGGGGTTTGGGGTGCAGGGGATGTGTGGATGCATGTTTTAGGTGCAGGAGGTGCAGGTTTGTGGTGCAGAGAGTGTGTGGGTGCAGGTTTGGGGTGCAGGGGATGTGTGGATGTAGGGTTTGGGTGCAGGGGGTGCATAGTGCAGGGTTTGGGGTGCAAGGGGTGCAGGGGGTGCAGGGTTTGGGGTGCAGAGGATGTGGGGTTGCAGGGTTTGGGTGCAGGGGTTGCATGGGTGCAGGGTTTGGGGTTCAGGGGATGTGTGGGTGCGGGTTTGGGGTGCAGGGAGTGCATAGTGCAGGGTTTGAGGTGCACAGGGTGCAGGGTTTGGGGTGCAGAGGATGTGTGGATGCAGGGTTTGGGGTGCAGGGGGTGCAGGGTTTGGGGTTCAGGGGATGTGTGGGTACAGGTTTGGGGTGCAGGGGGTGCATAGTGCAGGGTTTGAGGTGCAGGGGATGTGTGGATGCGTGTTTTGGGTGCAGAGGATGCAGGAGGTGCATGGGTGCAAGGTTTGGGGTGCAGGGGATGTGTGGATGCATGTTTTGGGTGCAGGGCATTGGATGCCAGTGCCCTGCCTGTGCACGGGGGTGGGCAATGGGTGCTGGTGGGGTCTGTGTGTGGGTACCCCCAGTGCCAGCACTCAGTGCCATCGGTGCCAGCCTGGTGGCAGCACCCCGTGTTTAGTGGCATCACCCCGTGTTGGGTGCCAACACCCCGTGTTTGGTGCCAGCACCCTCTGTTTGGGGGCAGCACCCCATGTTTAGTGGCATCACCCCGTGTTGCGTGCCAGCACCTCCTGTTTGGGGGCAGCAACCTGTGTTGGGTGCCAGCACCTCCTGTTTGGGGGCAGCACCCCGTGTTGGGTGCCAACACCCCGTGTTTGGGGCAGCACCCCACGCCCCCTCATCCCCCGCTGTGCCCAGGCCCTGTTTGTCTTCATGGCACTCTCGTTCTGCCGGGACGAGGTGAGCTGGCTGCTGCGGCCCGCCGAGCACGTCATCAAGACCAAGGCGCCCGAGGACTTCGCTGACAGGTGGGGACACCGCGCTGGCACCGGCCAGGGGGCGTCCAGACCTATGGGGACACCCCCAACCATGGCCAGGCTGCTCTGGTGATGGGGTGCCATGGCCTCAACTGTCACCGGGGTGGTTTGGCTGTGACCGGGGTGGTTTGGCTGTGACCAGGGTGGTTTGGCTGGCACCGGGGTGGTTTGGTGGCCACGGGCACTGACTCACGGTGACTTTGGTGACAGCCACATCGCGGAGCTGCTGTTCCTCATGGAGCAGCTGCGGAGCCTGGTGAGGCGCCAGGTCGGGGTGCTGCAGCGCTACCACGTCCAGTACCTGGCTCGCTTCGACGCCCTGGTGCTCAGTGAAGTCATCCAGGTACCTACCGCAGGGCGCTGGCAGGGGCTGTGTCCCCTCCCTGTCCCCTGTGTCCTGTCCTGAATGTCCCTCATCCTGTCCCCATCCCCACAGAACCTCTCTGTGTGTCCCGAGGAGGAGTCCATCATCCTCTCGTCCTTCGTCAGCTCCCTCTCTGCTCTCTCCATCAAGGAAGGTAGGGACCGTGTCCCCCTCACTGTGTCCCCCTCATCGTGTCCCCCCTGCCATGTCCCTGTCACTGCCCAGGGACTGATGTCCCCGCTGTCCTGGCAGCCCTGGACCGTGCTGGGCACCCAGGCACGGGCTTGTGGGGCAATGGGGAGATGTGTGGGGACCACTGCCACCCCAGCCTGGCACCCCCAACCGCGTGTCCCCATGTTTCTATGTCCCCACAGTCGATGACAAAGAGCAGTTTGATTTCACTCCGCTCCGCCTGGACTGGTTCCGGCTGCAGGTGCTGGCCCTGTGGTTGCCCCTGTTCCCATCCCAATCCCCATCCCTGTCCCTGTTCCCATCCCAATCCTCATCCTTGTTCCAATCCCAACCCCCATCCTTGTCCCTGTCCCCATCCCAATCCCTGTCCCTGTTCCCATCCCAATCCCCATCCTTGTCTCTGTCCACATCCCAATCTCCATCCTTGTTTCCTGTTCCCATCCCAATCCCCATCCTTGTCCCTGTCCCAATTCCCATCCTTGTCCCTGTCCCCATCCCAATGCCTGTCCCTGTCCTCACCCCAATCCCCATCCTTGTCCCCATCCCAATCTACATCCTTGTTCCTTGTCCCCATCCCAATCCCCATCCTTGTCCCTGTTCCCATCCTTGTCCCCATCCCTGTTCCAATCCTCTTCCTCTCTCCCCATCCCCTTCCCTATCGCTGTCCCCATCCCTGTCCTTGTCCTCCTCCCCTGTCCTGAGCCCACTGTCCCCAAAGGCCTACACCAGTGTGGCCAAGGCCGCGCTGCCGCTGAGCTCCAACCCCGACGTGGGTCGTGTCATGAACCTCATCGTGTTCCACACCAAACTGCTCGACTCCCTGGAGGAGCTACTGGCTGAGGCCTCCGACCTCTCTGACCTGTGGTGAGCTCAGCTGCCCGCCCGCCTTCCCTGCCTCAGTTTCCTCATGGGCATGGAGGTGTCACCCTGGCTGGGGGTCTTTGAGCCCTGGATCTCCATGGCCTTCAGGATCTCTGTGGCCTTTGGGGTCTCCAGGATCTCCATGGCCTTTGGGGTCTTCGTGGCCTTTGGGGCCTCCAGGACCTCTGTGGCCTTTGGGGTCTCTAAGGGCTTCTGAGGTCTCCATTGCTTTTGAGGTCTCCATCACCTTCAGGAACTCTGTGGTCTTTGGGGTCTCCATGCCTCTGGGGTCTCCAGGATCTCTGTGGCCTTTGGGGTCCCCATAACCTCCGTGGTCTCCAGGATCTCTGTGGCCTTTGGGGTCCCCATAACCTCCGTGGTCTCCAGGATCTCTGTGGCCTTTGGGGTCCCCATAACCTCCGTGGTCTCCAAGATCTCTGTAGCCTTTGGGGTCTCCAGGATCTCTGTGGTCTCCAGGATCTTTGTAGCCTTTGGGGTCTCCAGGATCTCTGTGGTCTCCAGGATCTCTGTAGCCTTTGGGGTGTCCATGGCCTTTGGGGTCTCCATGGCCTCTGTGGTCTCCAGGGTCTCCATGGCCTTTGGGGTCTCCAGGGCTTCTGAGGTCTCCATGGCTTTTGAGGCCTCCATCACCTTCAGGATCTCTGTGGCCTTTGGGGTCTCTGCAGCCTTTGAAGTCTCCATGGCCTCTGTGGTCTCCAGGGTCTCCATGGCCTTTGGGATCTCCATAACCTCTGTGGTCTCCAGGGTCTTTGTAGCCTTTGGAGTCTCCATGGCCTTTGGGGTCTCCAGGATCTCTGTGGCCTTTGGGGTCTCCATGACCTCTGTGGTCTCCAGGATCTCTGCACCCCAGCACTCATGGAAAGGTGCCCACGTGTGCTGGGTGTGGGAAGGCACAGAGGTGGCTGTGGGGCACATGTCACCCACGGGAGACATTGGGCAAGCTTAGGTGACATCCACATGGACACGGGGACAGGGACAACACACGTGGCACAGCAACAGCGTGTCCAGAAAGACAAATCCTGCCCCCTTCTCCCTGCAGTTTCTACCCTCGCCCCGTGGAGAAGATGTTTGTGGCGACCATGGAGGAGCCCTCGATGCTGCGCTACAGCATCGCCTTCCCTCTGCTCTGCAGCCACTTCTCCCGCTGTGTCCACCCCATGTGCCCGGAGGAGGTGGGTCCTGCTGCCCCTTGGGGGGACATGGGGATGGGGGACGCAGGGGACATGGGGATGGGGGACACGGGGGTAGGGGAACACGGCCTGCCCTGCCAGCTGTGGAGGGGCTGAGGCAGGCACACAGGGTTGGGGACGATGGCAGCCCCATGGCCTAGGGGCAGATGTGGCCGTGGTCCATGTGTTGTGACGGTGCTGTGGCTTTATCCCCTCCCAGTATCCCCATCTGAAGGCCACTGCGCTGGGGCTGTGCAACAAATTCCTGGAGGAGATGGCCCGGCAGGCCAGCGTCTGCATCATGGATGCGTGCGCCGAGCAGCACAACCTCAGCGAGCAGGTCAGGGTCGTGTCTGCGGGGCCTTTGGGGTCTCTGTGGCTTTTGGGGTCTCCATGGCCTTCGGGATCTCTGTGGTCTTTGGGGTCTCCACAACCTTTGCAGCTTCCAGGGTCTCCATGGCCCTTGGGGTCTCCATGGCCTTTGGGGTCTCCATGGTTTTTGGAGTCTCCATGGTTTTTTCTCCACAACCTTTGCTTGGGGTTTCCATGACCTATGTGGTCTCCAGGATCTCTGTGGCCTTTGGGGTCTCCACAACCTTTGCAGCTTCCAGGGTCTCCATGGCCTTTGGGGTCTCCATGGCCTTTGGGTTCTCCATGGCCTTTGGGGTCTCCATGGCTTTTGGGGTTTCCATGACCTCCGTGGTCTCCAGGATCTCTGTGGCCTTTGGGGTCTCCGTGGCCTTTGGGGTCTCCATGGCCTTTGTGGCTTTCAGGGTCTCCATGGCCTTTGGGGTCTCCACAATCTTTGTGGCTTCCAGGGTCCTCATGTACTTTGGGGCCTCCATGGCCTTTGGGATCTCCAGGATCTCTGTGGCTTTTGGGGTCTCCATGGCCTCTGTGGTCTCCAGGGTCTCCATGGCCTTTGGGGTCTCCATGGCTTTTGGGGTCTCCATGGCCTCTGTGGTCTCCAGGGTCTCCATGGCCTCTGGGGTTCCTGTGGCCTCTCTGATCCCTGCAACCTCCATAACCTTGTCCCCCACATTCTCCAAAGCCCTGGGACAGCAGAGGCCATGGAGAGGGGGAAGACCTGGCAGGGTGTCCCCCACTTCAGCCTTGGGGACGGTGTCCTCTGGTCCTGGAGGTGCCGGTTGGGCTGTCCTGGGTGCTGTGACCCATGGCAACGCGTTGTCCCCGTGTCCGGCAGCTGCTGCCCAAGCACTGCGCCTCCACCGTCAGCAAAGCCCGCAACAAGAAAACCATGAAGCAACCGGCCAAGAAGGGGGAACCCGAGCGGGACAAACCGGGCGCCGAGAGCCAGAGGAGGGACCGGACCCTGACCACCAAGTGAGGGCCACCTGGGGCTGGCGAGGGTGGCTGGGGGGCTGCTGGTGGCCGCCAGGCGTCAGGTGTGACACAGGGGCATGGTGTGACCATGGGGTTGTCCCCATGGGGTTGTGGTGTGGCTAACGATGCTGCTGGGCACCAGATGTGACACAGGGGCACAGTGTGACCATGGGGTTGTCCCCA